ATGATGGGCTCCACCGGCTCCAACGTCAAAATGGCAGACGTTCCGGCATGCTTGTACAGCACCGTACTCCCGCAAGCCAGTTCCACCTCCACCGCCGTGAGATTGTCCCTCTCGTTTCGTCGAGCTTGTCGTAGCGCGTGGGTGGCGCCGCCGTCCAACAACGCCACCTGCTCCTTTTCCTCACTCCTTCCTGCTTCCTTCCCGGCCGCCGCATACTTGATCTGCAGCGCCCGGATAGACCTCAAAGACTTCAGCAGGCCTGCCACTTCTGTCAGCAAACCTGAGGCTTCTTCCGACCCTCCAGGGGGCGGTCTGGCCTGCTCTCCTGTTGATCTCGAAGCCGATGAGGCGGCACCAGGGTTCCACCCCGTAGCCTCCCGGGACGCCTCCTCCGCGGAGCCCGGTGAGCCACTAAGGCGGGCCCCTTCGCCACCAGCTGCCTGACCTTCTGTCGGCGCCTTCTCATCTCCTGGCTTCTTGACCTTGGACACCTTTGGAGCCGGCTGCTTCCAAGGGCTCACAGTCGTGGATTTCTTGACCGGGCAATCCCTCTTTGAGTGGCCCATCCCGGAACACGCAAAGCATCTGTTGGTCTTCTCCAGGCCTTCCCACGAGTGTGCATAGGTGCAGCTGCTCCCCTTCTTGCATCCTCCATCTCTTCCCCAAAACCTACAAGCAGGGCCTTGGGGCTTCTTCCTGTTGTCCGTGCTCCCGGAGTCGAGGCCGCCTTAATCGCCGTCGTCAGCGAGAGCTCTTCTGCTTCAGCCTGCAGGTACTCCGCGAACTGCTTGATCTTCCCGATCTGAGGCCGAATATCAATCTGCAGCTCCTGCCGAACCGAGGAGATTCTAAATGACGCCTGGGCCCCCGTCTTGCCGACCACCTCTGCGATCTTTCCCAAGACCGTGATCAGCACCAGCCCGTCCGGAAGCGCCACATCCAACTCCTCTGCTCTTGCCAACCATCTCCTCCACAGTCTCAAGGTCTGCAGAGCATCACACAGGTTAGCCCCCACCTTCGGGTCGGTGAGATGCTTCAACAGGTTGCCCCTCTCCGAAGTGCCTCCAGGTTGATATACCTGGTGAAGCCGGAACATGATCTCCGTCGCAGACATCATCCGGGCAGAGATGATCTCCCTCCTGATGGGGTCCGGCAAAGCCGCCAGTAGCATCGACAATCCCCTTTGCTCAACCCGGTGATTGTGTGCCTCAACATCCCCCAGCGTGGGCTTCAACCGGAGCTTCTCCAACGGTGTCGCCGTAAGCCACTCCGCGTAGGTAAGCTCCGCCTTCTGCAGGACCTGCTCCCACCACAGCCTGGCCGATCCCGCAATGTCTGACATCAGCGGGGTGATGACCGTCACCCAATCTCCAAATTGCAGCGACGATCCCTCACCTCCGGGCGGGGGTAGACTAGGAAGCTCCAAATTCCTCAGGGCCTCCGACAGTCTAAAGGCCGTCGCAGCTTCACCACCTCCTTCCGTCGGTCTCGGAGGCGGTGGAGGCGGCGGTGGAGGAGGTCGATCCTCAGTGGCCCATCCATGAGCCAAGTTCCTCACCGCTTCAGGATGAGGCGGTGGCACCGGACCACCAGTTGCTCCTCCGTCCGACGCCGTCTTGTAGGAAACATCGTCTCCCGCCCTTGCTGCTTGCAGCCTCATAACCTCCCGCTCGAAGGTCTCCTCCGCTTCTCGAAGAACCCTTTTCCGTAGGTCCTCCACTTCACGATCTCCCCCAGAGCCAGGTTCCCGACGCTCCTGCGATGAAGCACCTCCCGGCGGCACCCGACTAAGGGCCACTCGTTGCTGCACCTCAGGACTCCAGAACGGGTTCACAGCTCCAGGGCCCGGTGTTCCACCTCCATTCCTGCCGTAGGGGTCGTTCTGCGGCGTCCAATTGGCATAGGGCTCCAACTGCCTGGGTCGGACTTCCATCAATCCTCCAAGCAGACCTGGTTCGCTGCTTCTCCGAATTCCTTGATCGTGCCCTCCAGGAGGTCCGGATCCGTTGCCTCCACGAGCGCTCTGATCATGGCCTCCGGAAAACCCATGTCCTTTACCTCCATGACCCGGTTGATCGTGCCCTCCAGGAAACCCACGTCCATGGCCTCCATGGTCCGCTTGATCGTGCCCTCCAGGAAACCCACGTCCATGGCCTCCATGGTCAGCTTGATCGTGCCCTCCAGGAAACCCACGTCCATGACCTCCACGGCCTGCCTGATCATGCCCTCCAGGAAATCCACGTCCGTGGCCTCCACGAAAGGCTTGATCGTGCCCTCCAGGAAACCCAGGATCTCCGCGAGGCTCTTGATACCGCCGAGGATCAAGGATTCCCGTCCCGTCACCATCATTCTCATCCAACCTGTGATGAGTTGCCTGGCCGCGAACCTGCCCTTCTTGCTGTCCCGGACCTTGCCCATCACGACTGCCCCGGGCTTGTCCTTCTCCAGGATGTTGGCCCGGCCTCTCCATTCCCGTCTCTCCAAGTGGCAAAGGTGGGCCACGGTCTCCCGCCCCTCCTGCACCAGGTTCATCTCCGCGATGTAGCCCCGGAGGCAGCGTCCACACCTCGGGTTCCCAACCCGCCGGCTCCCCACCGGCTGTCATCCTCCGAAGATCGCGCCTCTCCCCCAGGTTCTCCGACCTCGCCCTCCGGGAAGACCCATTCTCGCGGATCATCCTGTCCAGCGCCTGGTCGGCGGTTTCTCCTTCACGAACAAGATCTTGTTGTTGTCTTCGCCTGCGCATCATGGCTGGCTTGGGCTCATAACCTACGGTTATGTTGGGGTAAAAACTAGCGCGCACCCTTTTCCGATGCGTCTTGAGCCAACGTTGCAGTTGGTCGTCCATGCTCACGAAATTTGAGTGCTCTCTTCACAGATTTCAAGGGGAAACCAAGAGGGGACACCCGTTTGGTTGATTCTAGGGGGAAACCAAGAGGGGTAGGATTCCCACACTCCTGATGGTCACAGTCAAAGCTCCTTGAGTAAAGGGTCACTGGCCATCCCAGGCAACCCCAACGATCATGCTCATCAGAGACCTTGCCCAAAGGAGCCGGAAGAAAATCCAGATGGGTGTGCCTTTTTAAGCCCAAAATGGTGGTTGTCCTTCTGGTGTCCCTTTCAAACCCTCAAAAGGGGTAGCCTCAAAAACGACGATTCCCCCAAACACCCTGTGAGGTAAAGGAACATTCCGACCGAAAACCGTTCCCTCCATCAAAGATTAGTATTGGAAATAACAGTTATCTCAGTTGACCAAAGGACCCAGGATAAGAGACTTAGACTTTTCGAACCATGACGAAAAATGGACCAACAAGGAGAAAATGAAAAAGTTTAACAGGTCGGCTTTGGGCAAGTTGGCCAGTGAGGAGACTCACCGTGTCCACGTGTGTACTCGCTTGGCCCCTCACAAACAGATAACGTGCCGCGGGCGCGGCCAACAGGAATTTCAAACGAAACTGAGATACTTCTGCGAGACAGGTCTCTCTCTCTCTCTCTCTCTCTCTCTCTCTCTCTGTCTCCCTCTCTCTCTCTTTGACTCACAAAAGGCTGTTCTTACATTTGCTCAGTCATGAAAGCGGACAGCCAGATGCAAATGACATGACCGCATGTTTGTTAGCTTCGATTCAATGACTGAAGCAATGGGGGGGGTATGTTTCTCTTTGATCGCATAGGGTTGTTCCTGCGGGGGATGCCCTTAAATGCTGCGTTTTGCGCGGTGTTGGCCATTGCCTAGGTCCTCCAGTAGAGAGGATAGAATAAGGGTACCCTTTTTCTGTAGTCTATTTTAGTAGGGGAACCCTCCCCCAAAAAGGTGTAAAGGGCACTACTGGGCCGGGGGACCTTCATATTCCGGAGACCCCCCTCGCCAAACACCCCTCTTACAGTATCCAGTCCCCCATGGCACACCGCAAACGGCACGAGTTCGAACGCCTCGCGGCTCAAGTTTCCCGAGGACCCAGTACTCGTTGTTGCGTGTGTGCTCATTTGGAACATGCGAGGGGAGTTGTTTCTTTGCTCGTAAAGCTTGGTACCAGAAAAATGTGCAGCGCTTGGAAAGCCCTACACCTCGAACTGCTAGGTCCTCCAGTCGAGAGGTTAGAATAAGGGTACCCGATTTTTTGCCTGTAGTCTGTTTTAGGGGAGGCAATTTGGTGACCCGAGTTGCCTGTACGTCGAAACGGCCGAGGGAAGGGCCGAAGAAAATGAATGGCGCCCCGTGGGGTCCCTGTCATGTGGGGAAGGGAGAACGGGATTGTTCCATTTGTTTTCTCGCCCCCTGAAAAAATGAAAAAATATGTCCAGTAGTGATAGACTTCCTTTAAACCAACAAGGACAAATAGAAGATATCATTAAGCAAATGGAAGGGATTGTTTCTTTCGGCCATCTGCAAGATCAGCTCTGCAGCTGGAAATTGGATTGGAATTCCAAGACTCCAGTTGGAACAGCCCAGGGAGACCAGCCAGTAGGGGGCATCCTGCAGGTCGCAAACAGCCCTTTTACCTTCCCTTAAAGGGCCATGACCTCCAGAAGGATTTGCACCTCAAGATTTGTGGAGGTTGCAAGAGTCTTAGGGAGCGGTAACTTTTAAAGTGCCCCTGCTTAGTTTAGTTACCCTGATCTGGGCTGCCCTCATGCTAAAAGTTCACCTTTTAGTGGGTTACATGGAAACTACCACTAAACCCTGAAAAAGCTAAAAGCCTAAGGGGGCCCAAGTTAATGGTGGTCTCGTTTGGTGGTTTGGTGGTTTCGTAGTGTGGCACACAAACACACAAGAAACAACAAAAACAACAAAACACAACACCAACACGGTACAAGCACAACACCAACAGCACACAACAAACAACCAAAACACGGTTGCTTTCTGCTCCTCTGCTACAAGTTTAACTTTTGGTGGATTGATGGAAAACCCATTAGCTGGCAAACAGTTAAAGTCCTAAAATCCCAGCAACATGCACCAAAGAATCCACAACCAAAAGAAAGTCTTGTCGCCCCACCGCATCCTGCGCTGCGATGGTGTGGAAGCTCTCGTCGCTCACAATCCGCATCTCCTCCTCGCCGGTCAAAGCATACCAAATGTGGGGATGTCATCATGGGGGCTGCGGGGGAGGGAGGGGAGGGGGAGGGAGCCCGAACAAGCCCCACATAAGGCCATAACGCGCTTGAGAGCCTAAACCTCCCTCCCCCCCGAGCCCCCATGAGGTCATGCTTCTCTAAATCGGAATCATTGTACCGGTGGTTAAGAATCCTTACTAGTTGAATGACCATCCACTGTTCACCCCAAGTAAAGGGGTCTTTGATCATGGCACATGTCATGATGACGTTTAGTGAGGAACCTGAAATGGTGGACAGAATTTGGTACGGATTAAACACTTACTTCTGAGTTTGTTCCAAGTCTTAAAAAACATGGCTGTGTCTAGGGGGGACACCTTTTTGTTGGGAGTTCGGATATGAGTTGTTCGACCAGCGCACTGGTGCGGAGTGGCTCTGGGTTATCCTTCCGGAAGGGTTGTAGGGGTTCCTGGGGGTTGGGTTCCCACCTGCACTTGTTCGAGAGCACATTTTGGCGGTTGGCTTTGAGGAAACCAAGAAACCACTATTTGGAGTCCCCCTCTTACGCGTCAGGTGCTGGTGCTTTCCATTGTGCGCTGTTCGGAGTGGTCCGATCCCGAAGGCAACCGTTGTGTTCCCATTGACAGGGACCCCAGCTACCAGTGTAGGAGGAAACCAGCCACTCTCCGTGTTGTATTTAAAGGGTGGTTGCACAACTCCAGGGTTGATTCCCCATTATTTTCAATCATCGTTCTTTTCACAACCTGCCGTTTTCCCTGGGTTTCTGGAGGTTCTTTAGACAGAAGGATCCCTGGAAAGAATGGGGAAGGTACCCCTGGAACAACTGGAAATCATGTCCAGATGCTTCATTCTCTAGGAGCAAGGCGCTTTCCGGTGCAAATACTCCAAACAAGGTTTGAGTCCCTTCAAGTTGCAAAACGTGTTGGTGACCCGTCAGAGGAGAAGGGGCGATCATCGCTCGTGGACCATCCTTGGCTCTCAGCCGCACTTGGGGGGTGAGCCAGCCAGAGCCAGGGCAGATTGCAAGCCGCTTGGGTATGTAAATCAGACCCAAAGAGGGTACCCTGTTACTCTCACACAAACACACACCACTGGAAAAAACACAAGTCCAACAGTGCCAAATTTCCCATTAAAGCCAACAGAACATAGAAAACACACAAAAATCTAAATCACAAATGGAAGACGTACAGGAACCCCACGTTACAAGAAGGCCGTTCTTGTTCGACCTCCAAGCTTTCGTCCTGGGCTATGCAAAGGATGTCGAAGAAGAAGGGCGTGTTGTCATCCTCGGCTTTGGGGTTCCCCGATGAGAAAAAAATCGGCCGAGCCTTGGAACCACAAAAAGCTTCGGCTTGAGGCTCCTTCCGAGGCTCATTTCGACTTTCTGCCGTTTTTTGCTTTAAGGGTCGGCAAAAACACAGGGGGCCAAAACCGATACCCGGCAGTGTTGTCGCTTGCTCACGTCGTCCCGCGCCTTTTTCGCGAGAGGGGGGCGCGAAAAACTGAAACTCCAGAATGGCAAGCCTGGGCATCATTAGACCCTCAAATGGCGAGGGATAGGGAGCAGTGAAAGGAAGCTTTTTTGAGAGGGAGCTCTGAAAGAGAGCTTTTTGAGGTCCCAAGATTCTGAGCAGTTTCCCAAAGTACCAATCATCACATGTTCTCGCATCCCGAGTGAATGGCCCAAAGAAAGTGAAAAGTTTTTGCTGGGCCACACTTTCAAGGGTATTACCATGGACCCTCAAAGCCGTGCTTTGGAGAAACCTCACATTTGTTTGGAGAGGAGACCCATTCTTGGAGGGAGCCCCCTTTTGGGAATTTTCAGATATGATATGTTCCTGTCCCTCCAGATGGTTTCATCCTAGAAACCCGCGTGTCACCACCACCACCACCACCACCACCACCACCACCACCACCACCACCACCACCACCACCACCACCACCAGTGAACCACTTGGTTTCCCACCAACCTACATGGAACCCAACAACTTGGTTGCTCTGGACCCCCCTGCAAAAAGTTCAACTTTTTGGGGGCTTAGTGGAAAACACCTTGATTTCAACCAAAAGTTAAAGTCTAAAGACCCAACCCAGCAGTCAAGACAAGGTCTTTGTACCGCCCAGGGTCCCATCGGAGTTGGGCACGCTTGAAAAAGCAGTTGTTGGGGTGCTGGGAGAGGAAAACCGTTTAGCGAACCGTTTAGCGATCCTCAGTCAGGCTCCATATTCGCGGGATGGAATCGGTCATTGAAACCCTCTTAGATGTCGCATGGTAACCTTCTGCTGAACCCTTGCTCGGGATGTGTGAATGAAGGGTAACTCAAGAAGGGCCCAACGTCCGCGGACATTTGCCTCAAACAAGACATGGGCGGTGTGTGTGTGCCATGTCCCAAACCCAAGTGGGTGTTAAAATAAGGGTCCCATGTTAACAAGAAACCGAAGGAGACCTTGCCATCTTAGGGACTCGGACGCCTATTTTTGCAGAAACACTTCTTTGTCTCCAAAACTTGGCTCCAAAAAAGCGTCATGTTGGCTTCCCTCTCAACCCACCTTCAACCAAAAATGGGTGGGCGCCTTCTCAAGAAACACCTACATGAATGAGTCCCCCCCCCCTTTTTGCGGCCTCCACGGGTCCCGTTTTCGCCGAAACAGCGCGTTTTTTTTCCGCTTTCGCCGAGCTGCGAACTCGCGGGCCTCCGCTTGCCACTCCAAGGACCGCACCAAATCCGCGAAGGACCCGGCGTTGCTGTAGGACACAAAGACCTCCTGCCCGATGGCTTCATGGCTTGGCAACGGGGGGCAAACCACTGAACGGTTCCTCCACCAACCCCTTCAGTCCCAGCACCCATTGCAACCACAGCTTTTTTTCAGGACAAGGACACACATTTGGGACATGGTGGAAAAGCAGGTGCTTGCAAAAGGATTAAAGAATTGTGGGTCCAATGAAAAATCCACCATTGCCCCCAAAAGTTAAGGTCCAAAGATCCGCCAAACAGCCATAGACAGAGCTGCGGGAACTGGAATCCACTTCTGTGATACAACAGAAAGGGTTGCTTCCCAAAGACTATTCCTCTTTGTACAGGTGGAGATTCCCAGATTCTTGTATGAAGTGATCTGGGAAAAAATTCGAGTGATCAACCACAACCAAACAGCCAGGAAAGGACCCATTGCTTGCTGCGAGGCGCCGGCGGCACTGGGGCTTCCGCCACGGTCTCCAGGAAGGAGCAGGGCTCACCTGAGTCACTGAGGCGCCGGCTGGAAATGGCTGGAACCGGTGCGAGGGGTTGGTACCATTGGGGGATCGCACCACCCATTTGAGAACCTATTTTAGTGGTTGGATTGGGATATTCACTGGAAAATACAGAGTTTTGACCCATGGCCAAATCTCGGGTGAGAAGAGAGCAGCAAATTTTACTATACACCCTTGTTTTGCAGGAGTCGCCTATGACACATACCCATAGATGGCAACAGCAAGGTAAAAAGGGAACTGCACACTTTTCTTCGAGGTCTGAAGAGTGCCAGCATCAAACGGATCTTGTATCATTCTGCGAAGTTTACTAAAATGCCAAAGCCTGAATTTCGAGTTGGATCCCCATAGGACCTTTGTCATGGTGAGCTGGTTTTGCCCGCGAATTCCGAATCGGTGAGCTCGAGTAACAGCAAACAGATGGCAGTCCCGAAGCTCAGGGGTTGTGTTTGCTTGGCTTCATGGACTCGAGTGGCTCCAGCGGAAACGATTTGCCCCCAAACGATTTGCCTACCTGTAAAAGGATTGTCCCGAGGGAACGCCTTTTGCGAGGGTTGAGGTAAATCTTAGAAGACCCTCCCACCAGCATGGAAGTGCAAAAAGGGGCCCTTTCCAAGAGGAAAGTAGTCTTTCTACAGGGGTCTGTGCACCAGCCCATGTTAAGCTGGTGGGAGGGTAATACTTTTTATCTCACGCTTGTGTCAGGCGTCATGGAAACCCTGAGAGCAAAAACTAGGTCCTCCAGTAGAGAAAACCTGCAGTCTGGTTGTCAGCTGGCCTGAACCCCAACAGGGCCAAAGCCCGAGTCGGGTCAGGTCTACCCTCAACAGGGATCCTTACATTATACACCTGAACATTCCCTGGTAAATGGTGGTGTCCTTTCTTTTGGTGGAAAAAGCCATGTTTGAAATGGGCAAATAGTATCTTTTAAGGAGCCCTGCTCAACTTGAGCCATAGCTCGTTCTCTGCCCAAAAAGGGAACCCCTTAGTATGCTCCGAAGTAATCCGCGCACTCGTTAAAACCCTTCAACGTCCGAAAAGAGTCCTGGGGTCGCCAATCGTAGCACCTCTTATGCGTCTCAAATAGAGGCACCCTACAGGTCCAACCCAAACAGGTGCCTCAGGAGACATAATTATACCCTAGTTTATGGGGAGGGGGAGTTTCTTTTGTTGCTTTATTCGGACCTCTCCAAAATCGTGAATTTCATGTTGGCTTCCCTTTAAAGCCACCCCCAAAAGGGTACCCTGAGAAAAAAAAACTCCAAACGCACACCTGGAGTCTCCATGACCATTAAACAATGGGTTCATGACCCCATGATTTTGGGTAATGACCAACCATGTTTTAAGGGTCAAGCACATATGACAAACTTTTTTTCAAGGGTCAGGAGACTCCAAGCACATTCCAAGCAACCCCCGCACAAAAAAAACACAACACAAAAAAACGGCCGAGCATCCGTGGATCTTTGGCTTCAGCTCCTGCCACCTCAAAGCGAACCCCGTCGAGTTCTTCTGCCATGCCGTTGGGTTACGAGTCGCCAAGTTAGTTGGTGGTAACCGGTTCGGTTATAACTTGTGGGGTTAACCCAGTCATGGGTTATGACCGGTTATAACCCACTTGTGGAAGGTTAACCCAGTTAGTGGGAGTTGTGACCCAGGCGAACCACTTACGAACTTAGCGAATCGAACATCCAAGTACCAATCAGGGGTGGTTTCCTTAGGAAATGATCTAAGATACAACTGGGCTGCTCGTTTTCTGATCCCCCGCTAAAAGCGGCTAACTTTTAGTGGGTCAAATGGAAACTCCCACTGAACACTAAAAGGCTAAAAAGCTAAGAAAATGGCTGCCAAGACAATGGGATTCTTTGAATAGTTGGGTTCTCCGCATTTGTCCGAGGTTGACAGGTTACCAGAGTCGCCGCTTCGATTTTCACAATGGTCATTGGACCAGTTCTCAGAATCCCCCTGGTCCTTGTGGAGTTGGAGTACCCGTGCTTCAGGCCCAACCCCCCCAAGCCCACGAAATGTGACGTCGGCTCCTGGTGCTAAACACAACAAGGTTCCATGTCCAACCAAAAGCCAAAGATGTTGTATGTGAACTCAAAAAGAGGAACCATGTCTAAAAGGATTTCCGCCTGCCCGGCTTTTTGCCCCGGAATATGCGCAAGGCGATTGGGGCTAAGCTGATTTGGGCCTCGGGTCGCCAATTGCTAAGCTCTCGATCAGCTTTCGCAGCTTGTGAATCTGTCCAGACTTGCCCCGACGATTGCCTGAAAGGTGCCCAAAAAGCATCGCAGGCCCGAGAAAGTGCACCTACATGAGCTCATGTTTCAGGCAAAAGAAGCTGAAGCTGAATGGCGGTGCATGCAGGGCGCTCTGGCATGTTCTGCCAGCCTCACAAACTTTAGCCGGCAGCTGCTTCTTTGGGGTTCTCTAGCTGTTGGGGCCAGCCTGATATGAATTGCTCCGAAAGACATCACGACATCACTATCCCCGGCACAGCCCTCAAAGCCTTGGTTATGAAAATGTGTCTTTCTCTAGGGCACCTCCCAGTGGCTTCGGCGTTCCTTTGGTGTCCCTCTAAACACCCACAAAACAAGCTAGGTCCGCCAGGGGAGAAATTAGAACAAAGGCTACCAACTTTTTTCAGGACGTCTATTTTAGGAGAACCCTCCCACCTAAAGGGTGAGAAAGGGCACCAAAAACGCTGGGGGACTTAGACAAGGGGACCAAACTCCCACGCTCGCCTGGAAACTCGCCTTCGATGAACACGCTTGCCTAAGAGGTGGCTTCGTTTTTTTTTCTTTTTTTTTTCTCCGGTTGGGGTCACTCCAAAGACCATCTGTTTGTTGTGTTTTTCTGGGGGCCCCTCCCAAAAACCGGGCCCGAACCCAAAAACACCCCAAAAAAAACCAAGGGGACCATCTCCGAGGACGCTCGCCTTCTGGAGCTCGCCTTCAAGAAAACGCTCGCGAGTTCGGAGCTGAGCTTCTGGCACGTAGGCAGCGATTTCGGAGACCAGGATGGAATCCCAGCTCCGCCGGAACTTGCCTGTCCCAGCAAACAAGGTGATCGGAGGAGAGCATGGGTTTGTCTCAAAATGGGGGGGAACCTCCAAAGTGGATGCTTTCCTTTTGGTTTCCATTTAAAACAAAGTCCCAAAATTAGTACCGGACAGACCCACATATCCAACCCCACTCCCTCGAAGTCAAACGTAAATTCAGCGAATTCGTTCATTGCCTGAAAAAAAGGTGGCTTGTTCCCGTTGGCTTTGTGGAAACCAAGCACTTGTTCAATACTCCATGCCACCAATTCCCAGAGTCCGAAAAAACAGCAGCTTGCGCAGAGTCGCTCGAGCAATACGCAGCCCACGTTATCAGGTCGCGTCACCAAGCAAAAGGGTGGGTGTTGAATAGCGCTGGACTAAACCAAATGAACGAGCTCATTTTAGCTGGATGGCCACCTTGCGAACGCAGACCCACTTACTTCACTCGGTGGATCTTGGCTACTATAGGCGACCAGCCAGGTTTATTATTTTTTTTTCTGGGAGTGGTTCTACCGGTTGCCAGGATGTCTGGGAGTTGAACACAACTCATTGGGTCACTAGCTGGCCAAGGATCATACGCAGAATCTGGGAGCCCGTGGCCTTCAAACCACAGCCCCTATGACCGATACATGGAGACACCAACTGTGTCCGTTGGAGGAAACAAGAAACGTATGGTTCCCTCGGCACCTTAAGTTTTTCTTTGGACCTCCATTTGGCTCGTTTCCGTTTGCAAGCACTAGAATCAAGCATCGCCTCTGTTTAAGCAACAGAGATATCTATGCGTGTGTCTTTTTGTTGAGGTTGCTGTTTTCAGCGAAGTCTGTTGTTTCCCATGTCCAACTGTCCAAAAAGCAGTACCGCTTGGGACCCGGGTGTTGGGGTGTACCAAATTCCTTTAAGAGAACCCCAGGTCTTTTGAAAGGGACCCCTCCCAAAAGAAAGGCATCGGTTTTCTTGTTGGTTTTCCTTTTCAAAACCACCAAACAAGGGTATCGTCTCAAACACAAAACGAAGACCCCAACCCAGCACCCTCCGACTTCCAAATTTTCCCGTGATATCCAAAGCAGCGGTAGAACTCTCAAGTATCCCCAACAACCAGTGGTTGGACCTCGGGTGCCGGTAGGTCTCTACACATGGCCATGGATCAAAATCCAAATCGTACCCCCAGTGAACATCCCAATCCCCACTAAAATAGGTTCTAGAATGGGCGGTGAATTCACCAACACCCCCAAAATGGGATCCCAAAACGGTTTTGACAACCGCAGCCACATGTTTCTGTTGCTGCCTCCTGGCTTCCCGCTTCCCGCTTCCCTCTGGCTCTGAGTGGCGCATGGCGTGCCGGAAGAACTTCTTCAGCTGGCCCAGCGTGATGCCTTTCAAGAGAAAAATGGCAAGGAGGTCTGGTCTCTGGTAGGTCCTCCAGTGGAGAGGTTAGAATAAGGGTAACTAACTTTTAAGGGGCTAAATCTAGGTCCTCCAAATTTGAGAGGTCAGAATAAGTTGGTACCCGATCTTTTTCTGGACGTCTATTTTAGGGGAACCCTCCAAACCAAAAAAGTGGAGAGAAGGGCACTACTGGGGGACCTAGTCTGAGGACCTCCAATCCCGGGTCCCAACCACACAGTTTTCAGCCAGTACTCGGGAGTTTGGACATGGGGGAAAAAAACAAAATGCCTTTTGGTCAGTTGGGAATTTGGACATGCTCAGAAAAGCAGTTGGGCGGTGCTGCTTGTAAATTTGAATCGATTTGATTTGTGTCCAAACGGGAAGGGGGTTCTGTTCACACCAAAGAGCATGCGGGGACGCAAGGGAGCATCGTCGCTAGATTCTCGGTGAGAAGAAAGCAACAAATGTCCTCCACAAGAAATCATGACTTTCTGACTATGCTTCATGTTTAGTCTACCACAAATCGATCCCAAATGGGTTGAAGGAGACCCCAAGTCTGGAGGAAGCCAACATTGGCAAACTAAAAGAAGCATCACTGGTAAAACCTTGGTGCAAGCAAGACGTCCATCATCCAAACGAAGCACTTGGCTGACAGCTTGCTCCTTCGGGGTTTGTGTGTGCAGAAGCAATCCTCCGAAGGCGATGCGTGTCTACGTTCCTACACCAAATGCGATGTGTAGGACAGACTACCCAAGCGCGATACCCATCAACTCAAAACCGAAATGACATGGCACACTCAGACCGGGTAAATATAGTCCGTTGCTCATAATGTAGCGTTTATCAAGACCCAATTGCAGGGGTCCGCCATGTTTGGAGACACGTGCAGTGGCTTTGCAACCTTGTACGTGTTTGGCTACAACAGGATAGGTATGGATAGCTAGTCTCTGGGAGTCTGTTCAACTGGCTTGGGTCATTGCAAACTGTCCAACAAGTTGGTGACCTTTTTCGGATTCATCTGCTTGCATGGCGGACATGGCTTTCTTAAGACCAACTCGCAACATTGCGTCCTTCCCTCTCTTTCTTCTGGCCTCCCTTCAGGGTTTGGCCTTCTGACCTCAGGCTGACAGTTTTGGACCACTGCTCATGGGAGCTCCGTTCCCCTTTTAAAGATGTGAGTGGTAGATTTGGAAAGCTGAGCCACTGATCGAGCCGTGTTTTCTCATGCGTCGGAACCACACCCCCGCTAAACTTCAAAAGGGAACCATCCCTGCTTTTGGCTGGCCTCATTATTTTACCTTGATCAAAGTCACCCCGTACGTGGCGGGTTACAGGGAAACACCCAAACACCCCCATTTGGTGACTTCGAGAACCACCAGAAACCGACCCCAAGTGGATGGACGTCATCCGTTCGCACCACTTTCAGACCATGGATCGGAAAAGGCTCTTGTCTGCATTTACAGGGGAATCAAATCATTCCAGGGTTTCTTGGGTGTTTGCATTTACGGTTGAATAGCCATTCCAGGGTTTCTTGGGCGGTGTGGGATTTCGGCCATCCACAGGAGTTAGGGGGGATTCAAACCGTTTATGTTTTACCGTTGAATAGCCCTTCCAGTGTTGCTTGTCCCAAAGTCTGCCGAAAGCTCTGGCTCTCGCTTCCGCTTCTGCAACGCTTCTGGCCTCGGAAGGCGGGGTCCGAGATCTTGCAGCCCCGGGTGCGGAGGTGCGCGCCGAAGCTGTTCTTCACCTTCCCTGGGATCGATCCGCTTGGCATCTTTTGTGCCGCACATGGGCCGGGTCGGAGAGGCTAGGGGGAGACCAGCTCCAAGGCTTCGGTTTGGTTTGGAACTTAGGGACTACCTGCCACTTGGTTTCAACAAGAGCTGGGGTTCAAACTTAAACAAAAACAAATGAGGGACCTGAAGTCTACCGCCAAAAAGACAGATGGCTGTTGCGAGGGCTCAAATTCGGATCCAGAAAGGGGCCCATTTTTTAGGAGGACATGTTCGATGGTGTGGGCTTTCTGTGGCAAATGGGATTCCCTGTGGATGGACAAAATCCGCTTCGCACCAGTTGGGATGAATGGAACCCGTTCGCGGGATAGTCACCTATCAACCGTCAAACATGTGGTAAATCATTGGCTGTGGGTCAAACATGGGGTAACCCCAAAATGGGTTGCCCTGGAAAATGGAAACAAAGACCAAAACCGCGGTAACCCTAGCTCTTTCATTTTGAGCCACACCCATTTAGGCACCGGGAAGTCCATTCTTTTCCAATCAATGCGAACGCGCTCCGTCCTCGCAAAGCCGCAGGAATCAAATCTGGAAGGAAGAAAAGCAGAAGACATTTCTTGGGTCTCAAAAAAATGGCCAACAGGATTGCCTTGTCAAACTCCTTGTATGGCCAAGGTCATAGTCTTTCTTCTGATGAGAATCATCAAATGGTTGTTGAGGATTCTTATATGGTACAAGGTAGCTGAGACTCCCAAGCCCGTGTTTTCAGGAACCGGTCGTTTGACGGCCCAAACATCCCAAACCACATTTTTCCGCTCAGGTCTCACCAAACTCCCTCCAGCCTTCGGCGTTATGGGCAGAAAACAGTACTTGGATGTTCGTCTAAGTTAGGTGGTTAGCCAATCCATTACCAGGGTCAATTCCACTGGGTGGGGGACTTGTGAGTGGGTCATAAACGCACGCTTACCGTTACAACTTACCAAAATGAGCCAAGGCAACTCAGCCCTGGAAGGATTCTGAAACAAGCAGGTCAACCAGGAATCGGCATCTATTCTCAAGCAAACCGAAACCCTTTCAAGGACACCTCCAGTTTAAGTCCTCCGGAAAGAATAAAACATATGTCCAGTAGTTTCCCTTTAAAACTAAGAGGGGAACAGAAACAACCATTTATTTCAGCAAATGGAACTGGGCTGCCCTCAGATCCCTTGCTAAAAGCTTAACTTTTCGTGGGTTGAATTCGGAAACAACCACTAAACCAACTAAAAAGATCTAAAAGGCTAAGGAACCGGGTGGCTCCCAGCGCCACCAAGCCCCGCTTGGAGACGCCCCTTCCCTTTGCCTCGCGCCTCGCACCAGGCTATTCAGCTGCTCAAAGTTCCCCTGGTGCTCGCTGAAGATCAAGGCCTCGTGGGCGAACTCCGGCCGGCCTCGGCTTCTCGGTTTCTCGGATTCTGCGGATCGATCCGGGTAATATGAGCTCGTCTTTTTGTTGAGTTGGTACTGCTTTTGGTTGATTGGTTTGCTTAACAGGACATCACGAGGCAAACCCCCGGTTGTTTTGGGACCTCCCTCCAACAAAACGTGGCGGGTCTCCTTTTGCAAACCTCTCGAAAAAGCAGAGGTACCCTCAACAAAAAAAGAACCCACCCACAATATATATATATATATACATAGCTGGTAACCAAGAAACACCGAAGCAAAGGGGAACACGATGGCATGGTTCAATTCCAACGAGCCTGGGGCAGGGATGTCCACAAATGGGTTGAAGAATCGGATTTCCCGCATGGAGATTTTGGCCCGCCGTTTTTTGCAAAGAGCAAAGGGTCGACCTCGCTGACTGCGATCCGCACCAAAAGCCCATGATTTGTCGATCTGAAACACCAAAACGTGAAACCCAACATGGCATCGTTTTTACGGGGAAAGTTCGTCTCGGGATCCACCGTTGTTGGGGTCTCATGTTGACTTACGCAGGGAGTACGTTGGGTCTTTAAAGAGAGGAATGCAACAAACGACCTGAAGCACCAAAGGATCTAATACCTGATCATCCATGATGAAAAACATGTCCAAAGAAGGCCATCATGACGACCCAAGATCACTCAAGGGGATTCCCTTGGTATTTTTGGAACATATCCCTAAACCACGCTGACCACCAGCCACGTCTGCAGCGGACAAGCACTCCGAAAATCTCCGGTGCTATCCGGTGCTCAGCTGGGCTTGTTTGGCCACACCCTTGCGCATGCTCGCGAAGTGCACGGGATAGGAAGGCGGAGGTCTGAATCCCTCACTGGCTGAGTGGATGGCCCAAACAAAGTCCAAACTTTATATTTACCACTAAAATGGTCTTCCCCAAAAGTTTAAAGTTCATGAACTCAGGAAGATCCAAAGGGTCCAAGTAAGGTAACTCGAGCCCTTTGAAGCCCTGAAAGCCATCCTCAAGGGGCACTTGGACCCTCTGGGAATGAACAAATCCCCAAGGAAAGGACATTCACCAAGCTGAGAGCTCGCCACAAAATAGGCTGACTGATATACACCCCGTTGATTTAATTCGATTTGCCTGTCCCCATCCTTGGGACAATCCGCGCCTAGAGGGCCTAGAAGTTCCTTGAAGCTTTTGGGGAACATCTCCACTCCGGAAGCCCACGACAAGGGATATGCATTCTCCTCTTCCGTGAAAAGGGTCTGCGGTCTGCTTCCCTGGACACGATGCAGCTTCTGCGCTTGATCAGGGCCCCCTCTCAACTATATATCAAAAAAAGGTGAAGAAATCTACCACAGTGCGGGGCTTAGATGTGTTAGTCCCTTGCTGCGCAATAACCCTTCTTGACTCAAGCTCGACGCTACGATGCTTGCTCGTTTTGAGAACGCTTTTTCCTCCAAGCTGTTTCTTGACCTGCATAGCTTTTAGTTTCTGGACCCAACAGCTGGCGGGTTCCCCTTGCTGCCTTGTCTTTGGTGACCCTGAGCTGCTGTTCAGCCAGACACAATGCCAAAATCGCCTCCGCCTCAAACAACACCGAACGAAAGCCAACCGATTCAGCCCAACAAACAGCCAAACAACCCACCTCTCCCCCTACTCGGATGTTCGGCCAAGTTAAGTGGTGAACCAACCCAATAACAAGGTGAAATTCCACTTCTACGAGCTTGTGAGTGGGCTCTTTTTCTAGATGACCAACTAACTTTCTAACTCGGGGGGGGGAGGGAAAAAAAAAAAAAAAAAACTACCCAACCCCTAGCCGACCGCTTCCCCCCGGGGGAAAAAACAACAAAAATCCGCGGCATCGTCCGAGGCAGCGGCCCTTCAGTGCCCGCTGCTCGTGGGGATCCAGGCGCGTGTCCTCCAAGACCTTGCGACCCCGGTCCACCACTGGCCTCAGTCGCACAGCTGGATCGAGCCTCGTTTTTTCTTTAGGTCTATGCCCATGTCACTGGCCCCGCGATTGGCCGAAAAAGGTCCCAAACTGTCTGACTGGAATGGTCCAAACCCGTCCAAGCCCAAGAAGCGTACAGGAACTCGGAAAGTGAGCCGTTCTGTGCTCAAGCATCCTTCTTTTTTCAAAACCGGATCTGTTTCCCCTGGGTGTTTGATGGCTTAAAAAAAAGGATCGGTGGTAAGAATGGGGAAGCTTCTCCTTAGAACTTGGTTTGCTTGGCCCGGCTCCTGACCCCTACGATGCAGGCCGGGCGGGCCATCGAATGAAGAACCCGGACCCCTCAGGAGCCCTTGAAAACAACCCATTTTGGGGCCCAAAAACAATCGGAGCCTTGGGGGGGGGGGGGGGGCGGGGGCTTTGAAGGGAAAAGGACAACCACCGATTTGAGGGGCTATTTTAAGACACACCCAAATAGACAAACAGGCAAGCTAAGTCTGGCTATGGAACCGTGTCAACATACTTCGGATGCCAAGAAAACCATTTCACACCAGTTGGGATTGGTGGTTTATTCCTGTATTCATAGGGCTTCGTCGATCAATTACATTTGCCGGAATTGGGCCATAAATCAAAGCTTCAGTACCCCCGTCTGAGCATGCCTTGTACAACCAAAGAAACACTGACCCGTTTGGAGGGTTCCCAAAACAGCCACTTCCAAAGCCACCCCAAACAATTCTGTCTCCCTCTCTCTATCTCGCTCTCGCTCTCTCTCTCGCGCTCTCTACGTTTCCGCTTGGACAAAGATACGTTGTCCATTTGTTCAGTGCGTAGGACCAAACTGAACCCAGCGCCATTTGAATCAACATTCAAAAAGAGCAAACATGGTTGGCAAATGTGCTCATCTACACTCATTCTTTTGACCCGCAAGTTTTTCACGGGTGCCCCTTTTGTGTGGTTGTACGGAACAACCTCAAAAGGAACGCCGGAGCCAGCCATGGGACCTCCCCTGCTCATCCTTCTTGATGCCGGTCAGTTCATCGATCCCCGCTACGCGGTTCAGAATCCTCAGACGATACCCGCCCAGTCGGAACGCTGAACGCTGAACGCCTTGCCCGGGTATGCCATGGAACAAGGGAACTCTGCTTGGGATGTGCAGTTTCACTTGGAAGAAGAAGAAGGCATGGCATGGCCCATCAATAAACAGCCGGATGGTTGCTTCCCTCTCACCAAGAGTACCCTCCCACTAACATGGGCTGGTGCACAGACCCTTCTAAAAAGACGACTTTCCTCTTGGCTTTTGGGGCTTTGTACACTTCCATGGTGGCTGGGCGTGTATCAAGTCCAGAAACCCGCCGGCATGGGCAAAATACAGGTGCTTGGCTCCAACCGGCTGTCAGAAGGCCATGGCAGAAAAAGCTAGCAGGAGCAGGTCTAGCAGCTCTGGGCGAACTGAACCGGAGACGTGGCACGCTGATTGAAAAAAAAAAAAACAGCAGGGACCAGCAATATAGCAAAGAGAGCTGGCACCCAAAGAAAAGCCCAAAGGGGGCTGATTGAAAAATCGATTTAGACCTCTTTAAACAAGTTGGCCAACCCTGCAAAGGGATAGACAGCCAAGCCCCGCCACCCCAAAAGGAAGAAGTTGGTGACTATAAACCTCCCAACACTGTTGGATATAAGCCCCCAAAAAGGTTGGGGGCTCTAAACATCAATGCGCTCTAAACATCAACTAGCCTCGATATGGGGGGTTGATCAAAAGGTCCTTTACATGGGATGTTCATTGGGGAGAATCACAAAAACGATGATGTGTTCCGACAAAATCGTGTCCCACGGGGAAAAAAGACCCTTCATCCTTGGGGTGCCTTTCGCGCAATATTGATCAACCCCCATACGGCCGTGGCTGGAGCTGCCCCCATATGGCTGGTTGTCAAAGGTGGGGGCCCGCTTCATTTCGAAAAGGGAAAAAACAGGATGCAACAGGAATTATGCACATACCGTATATAGCTCCTTCGCCGGCCTTGTTGAACGAAAGCCGCGTCTTCTCCAGTGACCCTGGAAAAAAAAAGGGGAAACCCTTTTTCGGGAAGACCATTTTTAGTGGAGCAGCCACCCCCCCCAAAGGCGAAAAAGAAGAAGGGTGTCACTGAACAACTGAGTCTTTCGAAGGCCTCCCGTTCCACGGTGCGCCGCCGGCCCCCCCGGCCGCATCTGTGGCCGCATCCGACTTTCCGCCGCGGCTCTGCCGCCGGTCCGCGGCGTTGGAGGCCTCTGTGGAGCGGATGTCCCAGGCCTGCGGAGGCCCAAACGGCATCAAACGGCCCCATAGGGCGTTTGAGGGAGGCCCGGGCAAAACCAGAACCAAATAACACCCAAAGCGGTTTGGGTGTTATTAGAATCCGCTGGAAAACCCAACCCTCCCAAATTCAAAGGCAGGTATGTTGTAAGGAAATCCCAACCAGAGCAACAATCAAGTATGCAAATGGTCTACCCAGAACCATGTAAATAAACAATTAAGAAGGCCGCGGGTGTTGATGGCAGGGATTGATCAGAATGGTAAAAGGCCCTAAGTGGGAAACCTCCCAGGGCCAAAAGGATGGGCCAGTCCAACAAGTCTCGAAAAGGGTTGAACAAAGTCTGGGAACCCACGGATCCGCATGTCATCGGATGCCGCAAAATCCACAAAGACGCACCACTTGGGAGTGGTGGTTTAGTATCTATGGGGTTGAGCCCATCTCGGCAGACTGTTGTCCATCCACAGTATGTGTGTTCATGTTGGGGAAATCCCGCTCCATTTTGCTTAGAAAGGTGTTTCAAACTAGGCGGACAATTGAAAGGGGCACCCTCCAAGTGCAGTCTATGTGTAATTGGATAGATTCGAAGCTGGGTTTGGAGCGACCCGGCCGAGCTGCACCCGAAGTCTGGGGGTGTTTTTTTTTGTGTGCGCCAGTGCTGTCCGAACGAAGTCCTGGGACATTGTGCTCCCAGAGCGGGGGGCTTAACCCTTAACACAAACTCCTAACCCCTAACCCATGAGTTTGCAAAAGCCCCAACACCTAACCTGGACACCCCCCCCCAGGTTTGTAGAAACAAATTCTGGTATATATGCTGTCCCTCGGCTCCTCCGTCCTAAGCCACCATGTGTCTTGTGTCTGTCTTTCAGAGAGTCCTGGAGGCAACGTGAACGCAAATGGACACGTGGAACTGGGAATTCCAAAAGGTCGGACACCAAACAAGTGAAATGCCTTCTTGCCTCCTTCATCAGTTACTGGGCTGTCCTCAGATCCCCCGCTAAAAGTTTAACCTGTAGTGGGTTAAATGGAAACTACCACTAAACACTAAAAGGCTAAAAAGCTAAGGGGAAAGGTTATATTCTAATCTTGACTATAGGTCTTTGTAAAAAGATTCCGGTTCAGCTTGATACACCAATCGACGCTCATGGGCAGCTTGTTCGAGAGCATCAGTTGGTCACGAGCCCTAATGCAGTCGGTCATTTTCAGGCAGAGTGTGTTCGCTCAACAGTATACAATGTGCTCTCATAATTGGCTGAAGGAGTAGTGTTTCATATGACCTTTGATTAGACCCAGTCTTTGGTCATGGAGCGTTACATCGCTCACCCGACACTAGCCGAAACGCCGCAGTGGTACTTTCTGGAGAAAAGCAAAGGCCACGAGCCACGGCGATGCCAACGTCTCCACGTTTTGCGCCCAATCTGCCCTCCATGTGTTTACCCTCTTTGGACAATTTTCCTCCAACCGAGTTCCTCTTTTGGTTTTCCTTCAAACCAGCCCCAGCCCCTTGCCTAGGGCCTAGGGCATGTTTTAGGAGGGTAATATTCGCGCCTAAAAGTAGAATGGGGTTAGGAGGTACTTTCAACCACAGTCAAACATGGTTCTAGGGGGAAACTGACAGCACATGGCTGGTGCGTGGAAGCCTCCTGTTTGTGCGTTTGCCTTGCTTTGTGGTGCAGAATGGAAAACATCATCAACTCCTGCACATTTGCTCCCAAACAAAAACCCGCCACCAGCACCCGAATCCATAGCAACTCTTGCTTTTTGGACCGTACTTGGGAATTCGGACCTCCTGGATCATTCTCCATGAATTGCCTGGCAGTTCTCATCTTTATTCGCTCTTCCTACAAGGCCGGAGAATGAACCTCCAGGCTGGAAGGAAACAAGACACCTGGGCTGCCCACAGATCCCCTGCTCAAAGTTTAACTTTTCGCGGGTTAAGTTCGGAAACGACCACTAAACCAACTGAAAGGCTAAACGGCTAAGGAACCGGGAGGCTTGTTCCGAGCCACCAAGAAGACATAAGCTTGTGGTACCCGGGTAACATACCAAGTGGGCTGCGGGGAACTCTGAATTCTAGGGACCCGTAGCTTCCAGGCCGGGTAGGGAAACAAAAACCGAAAGCAAAAACCATTAAAAACTAAGCCAAAAAGATCTAAAAGGCGCTTGGGAACCGTGAGGCTCCTAAACCCTTCAAAGAAACCACCACTACACCCGAACAAAAAGGCTCAATTGGGAACCGGGAGCCTGGTTCCTTCCCAAACGAAACCAGCTCCTCTCGCCTTTTTCGCCCTTTCCGTCTGCCGCCCGCGTCTCCGCGCCCGCCGGATCGGTCCAACTCGGAGCTCGGATCGGAGCTCTCGCCTCCACGGCGTCCAGGAGCGCCACGGAGGAGGCGCCCTCAGAGCCCACCTTGCCCGTGGGCGCGAACCTCGCACACGGCACACCGAAGAGTTTTCTTCTTGGCGTCTTGGGTTGGGCCAAGGAAGTCGGTAACCCTTTGCCCGGCGAGATCTGCGAAGCCCTGCGGAAAGAGTTGAACTCACTTTTGGTGGTTAAAAAAACAGGGGAAAACCCGGTAGTTGGCAAAAGATAAAAAAGTCCTAACATCCCTTGGCAAAATGCACCAAAGCTAGGTCATAACCCACCTGTGGCGTTGACACGAACATCCAAGTACCCCAAAACCACAGGACCCGGGGGAAAATCGATCGACGTCCCAATCGCAGCTTTTTGCTGCCAAGGAGCAAGTCCAAAGCCTTGGACTCCTGTGCACTGAGCCTCAGCAAGTTGGCGGCCCCTTTGCCCCCAAGGTCATGGGAAATCAATGGAACAATCCATCCCTTTAAGCCCTTGGAGACACGTGGGCAACAAAACAAACAAAGTGAAGCAACAAAACATCCACTGCTAGGAGTTTGGGAGGGTTTCTGGGTTCAATATCGTTTTCCCGAGACGTTTCAATTAGGCGCCCAGTTCCCTCGCCATTCGGTCCGTGTTGTGCGAGTTGACCTGTTTTTCGCTCAAAAGCAACATGCACTGGCAATCCCACGGGCACGCCCGAGAGGTGCGGTAGAACCCCTTTGAAAACCCAACCACCCTCCCAAAAAAAATAAATAGTACAGTAAATATACATGCGAACCTTGTTTTTTTGAACAAACTCTCGGCTGCAAGCTTGACCCCAAGAGCCTGCAATCGTCCACTCCCCGAATTCCCTGCTTGGACACGGATCCTTGCAGTATACACCTGAACATTGCCTTGTAAATGGTGGTTTCCCTTTATTTTGGTGTTGAAAAAGAACCATGTCTCAAATAGTTGAAATGGAGATCTTTCAAGGAGCCCCCTTGGAATTCAGCCACAAAGGAAACCCGAATCGGCCCAGGAAGGTGATGTTTAAACCAGCCGCAGGGAGAAGCATACCCCGTCGAAAGTCCAAGCGCCCTTGGCGCATGGTGGTTGAGAGATAAAAAGGGGTGTGGACCTCTACTCACCAGAATTTCCTCATGTTGAAATAGATGAAATGGGAGTCAAAGTAGACTTCTATCCAAAAGAGTTTGCTCACTTTCAAGTGGACCTTTCTTTAACAAAACCTCTACTCAACTAGATAAAGTTATGTCAAGCCATCCGTTCGTTGTTCGGCTTTGCTGGGCCTTTTCCCGTCGCGACCCTTAGCCAGCCTGATCCGATTCCCATAGGAAAATCTCCGGGACCCGAATCGAGACCTTCGCCCCGAAGCGAACGCCGCGATTCGAAAATCCGAGTTCCGGCAAGGGGCTGCAGCTCAAAGGCGCACCAGGTCCGCGACAAGGAGCCCGAGGCACGGTCCACGACCTCTGACTCGACTCGCGTCGAGTCGAGTCGGTTTGTTTTGGTGGGGTCATTGTTCTGTGGGAAAGAGGACACTATCCCCCTCTTTTGGGGTTCCTCATTTTGAAGGGAAAACGAATCCGTTTTTGGAGTAGTCGACCTTTTTTTTTTTCCGGCGGGAAGTGGTGGAGGAAACCTATGCTTGGGGTTCCCCAATTGTGTGACAACGCCTATCCAACAAATTGGGAACCGAATGGATCCCTATCCAAAATCAGTGAAACATATCCACAAAAAATGGTTTGTTTGGGGTTCCCCAATTTTGAGACTATCCTTGGGGTCAGGTTTAACGGGTACCCGGGTTTTCGGGGTCATTGTTTATGGGAAAGAGGCAACCATCCCTGTTGTGGGTTCCTCATTTTGAAGGGAAAAAGGAAACCATCCGTTTTGCAGTTCCCCAATTTTGAGACAGAGTTGGGTCAGGCAAAGCAAAGGGCAGGCATCGATCGCCCGGGGGGGGAATACAGTGCCTATGGGGAAAAGACACGACCTCTGACCATCTTGGCTGGAGAGGGAAGGGGACTTGAGGTGAATGGGTCAACATTCATCAAAACCGATCGGAAGTAACATGCTCCACCCAGAACCATGAAAAGAGCTAAGCAGGCGGCATTCCGCACCATTGGCAAGGATTCTCCCCTGCGAAGCAAAGCAAAAGCTAGATATCAGATGCTTAAGCCCGAAACCCTACAACTTCACGCTTGCAATTTCCCACCAGGGGCAAACCGTTGGCCTAAAAACATCATGCTTGAGGGTTCCCAAACTGAAACCAGAAGAAGCAACTTGAACAGAAACAATTGAATGGAACAACTGAAGCCAACAAAACCGCCAGCAACCAGGTATGACCAAACTCTTGCTTGAAAACTTGAAAGACTCTAAAAAAATGCTCGTTTGGTAAAAAGGCCATCGAAATTCCGGTTCGGGAGGGTGCTCTCCAGGTGCCTTCTGGCTGGGGGTTCACTAAGCCGGGTGAGCAATCGACCGCGATTGATCCAACACCCGGTGTCCATTGCAAA